TCGAACCTACATTCCGGCTTGTAGCATAGTGCCTCAATCAACTACGCTAACGCGTGCACCAATAATAATAATAATAGTAATAATAATAATAATAAGCTGGAGAAAACTGCATAACGAGGAGCTTCAAAACTTATGCTCTTCGCCAAATTAGAATGTTCTAGTCAAAGAGGATGAGATGGGCAAGGCATGTAGCATGCATGGGGAGAAGATACATNGGAGTGGCGGGGAGCGCTACGTTACCGTGGAGAGGAGGGGGGGAGGGGGGTTCTCAGTCGCGCAACATGTTACAATATTAAAATTGATCTTAGAGGAATAGGATTGAGTGCTACGGACTCGATTCATCTGCTTCAGGATAGGTAGCAGTAGAAGACTTCTGTAAATATGGTAATGAACCTTCAGGTTCAATAATATTTTGGGAAATTCTTGAGTAGTAGAGCGACTGTTGGCTTCTCAAGAAGGACTCCATAGAATTAATAATAATTCGCCATGGTCAATGCAATTCGGTTGCTTATGGTATCTTTTATAATCGATAGATTTCAGAGAAGAGTGGAGCCTAGTGATCCGTAGATAAGCTATACATGGAACAGTACTGTCTCCTAGTATGTGGTCGCATGTAGTCTGGTATAAGTTTACCGATGTTTCGGAGGAACACACTACCTTCACTTTTCGAGTCGAAGTTAAGCCAAGGAAACAAGAAGTATGAAGAAATAATCAAGCTCAGAACTTAGGACTCGGGAGGGTTTTGCTACCGGTCCCTCTACCAACCAATGTTGCCATGGCGTCGAGCCCTCTCTTTGCTCCTTGCTAGATTTTGAATTACGGAAGAAATTTGCCATAGTTCTCTTATTTCTGTTCCTTCTCTCAGGAGAGAAGAGGGTTCAGGCTCGGCGACAGGTGCAAGACACAAGGAAGGCGGGGCCTTATGTTCTCACGATGAGCCGTAGCAGCCGTCGTAAGGCCGACGTTTCGTTCAACTTCCGTCTCTGCTGCCTTCAGCGTCGTCATGATTCTCTGCGCTGTAGTTGTGAGGGTGAGCTACTTTTGCTGGACACCGGGTCCGGTGCTTCCCCGCAGCCAGTCCTTGAGCGCTGGGGTCTCGGCGTTGCCCGCCGAAGCCGTGGCGTACCTCCTGCTGGTACAGGGCTGCGGTCGCTTGGTTCCTACTTCCCTTGTTGATGCTCCTGTCCCGCGTAGCTGCTGGGTTGTTGCAGCTCTTCAGTTCCCTGTCTCCGTTGTTTTCTTCTATGCATTCCTAACGTTTGCCATACCCACAACAGAGACAGCTTGGAGGCTGTTTTCATTTGACCGAGATATGATCCAAACACTGGTACCTGTAGCACTGCGTCGGCCCAGATCGGAACTTACACGATTCTTCTGTTGGTAGGGGATGTTGAACTGAAGATATTCTGTGACTTGTAGCAATGCGCTAGAGTCACAAGGGAGAGAACTGCGGTTATTGAAACCTCGGGTTTAGATCCCGTTTACACTCATTTGTTTAACGCTTGAGATTTCAACTTCTGAAGGGAGAAAATGATGTCTTCGGAGCAAGTGTAATTGTAATTTGATACCATATTTAGGTAAAGTTGTCCCTGTGCTTAACTAATTAAGCACTACGCCTTGAAGACGCATGGGGGAGTGGATGCATATATCCGCATTTTCTTTACCTCGGCACTAGTTGGAGGTGAGTGGTCAGTTTCTCGCCCTGGTCGCTTTACCCCCGGGAAAGAGCCCCCGGTATCCATTGGATAGGAGAATGGATGTGCCCCAGAGACGGTGTGGACGACATAGAGAAGTGAAAATTCTTGACCCTATCAGGACTCGAACTCCAAACTCTCGGTCGCCCAGCCCGTAGCTAGTCGCTATACTGACTGCTCTATCCATGCTCCCAGATACCATATTACATAACATTTAATCGGAAGTCATCAGTCCATCACTATCATAATAAGAGTTTCTTTTCTTGGTACATTTCCTTGGAAAAGCGCCGTTGACGACCACATAATTTTAACAGGTGGGGTTCCTTCTGTGTTTCAGATCAGAGTAGAATTAATATTATATTTCAGCATCCGGTTGTAATGGTTAACAATTTTGTTTGTATGGGCAGCNCGACTGCGCCGATACAAGTAAAGGCGAGAGGAAAAGAGCGGTGTTACCTTGAAGGTGCAACTTCTTATGTTGTCGCTTTTATGTTTTTTTAATTCGCTAGTGGGGGGTGGAGTCCACCTGGGTCCACTCGGCACGGCGGCCACTGATTGGCTTATTGTAGCCTGCCCCGGGTGATTATGATGATGGAGAATTTGGTGGAATGAAGATTGGCAGGGGAAACAGAAGTATTCAGAGAAAACCCGTCCCAGCGCCACTCTGTCCATCATAAATCTCACTTGACCAGAGCGGGATCGAACCCGGGCCGCCGCGGTGGGAAGCCAGCGACTAACCGCTTGAGCTATGGCGCGGCCTCGCTTTTATGTTACTTCCAAAACACATATTTACCTAAGTGTTACAATATATTTAATTTCTCTAGTTCTTTTTTCTGTAACTCGGTTAAAACTATGTCAAATTATTCTTTAATTCTGTTAAAATGATTTAACACTTTCCATTTTTTTTCATTGATAATCCGTGTTTCCAGCATTTTACGGTTTCTTGGTTTGTATGCGGTGCCTTTATGATGGAGTATATTTTAACTAATCTTAAAACAAAATTCAAAGAACAGTTACTTACAAGTATCTACTTGATTATGAACTTACAAGATCGAAAAATGTAGTTCAAGTAATGACTCCGTGGCCTGTAGTCCGCAAGTGAAATATACCGACCGAGCGACCACCGCTTGTCGGCGAAGTTAGTGCAACTTTTACGGATCGCGTGAACATCCCCACGGCCGTTAATCTCTGTTTTCTAGACCGGAGTCGCTATTTCCTTGAACTGCCCAAAATAAAAATTAGCAGAGTAGCGCATCCGAAATCTGGGACCACAACAAGAAGTTGTATATTCAAGACAATCCCTACAAATTAAGTATGAGTCGAATTGAAAAATATCTGGTGAAACACAAAAACAATTCAAATATCGGTTTCAGATGAAACTGTGGGTGCTGTGTGCTGCTGCTGTGATGTGCTTCCTGAGTGGGGTCACAGCTTCATGCTCCAACAATCCATGCACTGGAACAGACTACAGATCTTACTCAAGCTGCCTCAGCAACCGATGTCCAAGCACGGTAGTAGCTACAGGGTGTTCTGAATCTAAATGTTCTTCGATAAACTGCGATTCGTGCTCCAGCTCTAAAGCATGCTGTGATTCGTGCTGCTCAAAACCTAGTTCTTGTCAGTGCCAGAATATTGCATGCAAAAGTTGTGAAGGTTCATGTTGTGCAACTTGCTGCCCACAACAAGATTGCTGTAAGAGCAGCAGCAGACAAGAATGTTGCGAAAAGTATCCAGAGCAACAATGTTGCGTCACACCTCAGCCTGTACAACCAGTATTCCCATCCATCACATTACCAAATATTACCATATTCATAAATCAAACACCCGCAATTATTTATAACACTCTAAACCAAACGTGTGGAGGAGTGACCACGGTCAGAAATAACACGCATATAGTAACTACAACTTCGACATGTTCAAACCAAACGATACCTCCTAATCAGCCATGTTGTAGAATCCCATATGTACCTCCCTGCATCCCACAACCGTTTCCTCCGTACCAGAATTGTCCACCCCCCACGTATAACTATGCATGCGGACCTCAATGCATTGTACAACGTAATTCACCATTGCTGGTTCAACCTCCTCCACAGGTCATACAGCCGCAGTTCGTTCAACCTCCACCGATCATACAACCGCAGTTCGTTCAACCTCCACCGGTCATACAACCGCAGTTCGTTCAACCTCCACCGATCATACAACCGCAGTTCGTTCAACCTCCACCGGTCATACAGCCGCAGTTCGTTCAACCTCCACCGGTCATACAACCGCAGATCATTCAGCCAAACCCAATATGGCCGGTTCATCAACTTGGCTGCTACTACCAACACAACCAGTGTCCCTCTCACTGTTTAGGAGGCTGTATTTCCTTGCCTAGGCAACAGTCGTGTTCCTCTACAAGGCACTGGCCTTTCCTTAGATGTGAAAGTCCGTATTTTGGTGGCATTGGTAGCTATGGTGGTTATGGCGGTTATGGAGGTCTTGGAAGTTATGGAGGTTATGGAGGTTATGTTGGAGGCCAGATACTTTATCCACAGACTGCATAATATACATGGATTTATATAGAGTGCTCAGTCATGAATTTAATTAACATAGTTCTTTTCTTAGTCCAGAACTGTAATCGTATGTTTTACTAGCATTGTAAAATATGTAATAATAAATGATTTTTAGTGGTAAAATTTATTTTTGATTTCAGTGGAAACGACAGATTTATATAACCATTCAATTAAAAGTTTTAATTTATTATATTATAACTTCAGTGCACATTAGATTTTTGGCGAAATCTTTGAAGGGAGAACATAGATCAGTAGACCTAGATGTAGATGAGAGGTTAATAATAAAATGGGTCTTAAGTGAACAGAGTATGAGAGAGTGAACCAGATTTAAGTGACCCGGGATAATGTCGGGATCTTGTGAACATGGTAATATATTTTCATGTTCCATAAAATGCCGTTAAGCCCTAGATTTGGAACTATCCAATTGTCTATTAGCTTCTCAAGAAGGACTATGCCCCATAAAAAAAAAACTAGTTAGATACAGGAAATTCAGTGGAGTACTGAGAATTCCCTTGTTTAAGTTATCAAGGCCCTTGATATAGAATTTAGGTAATTTATACCGGTCATAGCCGGTCACGGTAGCCGAGTGTTCTAACGCTCGCTCGGAAGCCTAGATCGTGGTTTCAAATCCCATTCAGGGCATGGATGTTTAGTGTTTGTGTGTGCGTAGGTTTATCTGTATTTGTGTATTGGTAGAAGCCGTGAAACGAGTAGATCACCCGCCCAAGAAGTCCTACCGAATGTCTAAAATCTAGTAAATTCTCAGTTTCAGAGTTCCTGGCTACAGATCCAGAGGCCCGGGTTCGATTTCCGGCCCTACCAGATTTATGGGGCCGCGCCATAACTCAAGCGGTTAGTCGCTGACTTCCCACTGCGGCGGCCAGGGTTCGATCCCGGGGTCTGGTCAAGTGGGATTTGTGGTGGACAAAGTGGCTCTGGGGCAGGTTTTCTTCGAGTATTTCGGTTTCCCCTGCCAATCTTCATTCCACCAATTGCTCCACAATCACCCTCACCTATCATCTGGTGCTGGTACAATAGGCCAGAAGTGGCCGCAGTACAAGGGACTTAGTACAATCCCAACTAGCATTAAAAAAATCTAAGTGAAAAGGGGAGTTTCAGGAGGTAGGCCAAATCCCAAATCGGGGCTCTAGCGCCAAAAAAAAAAATACCGGTCATAATTCCAGCGTTTCATCTTTTAAAATTTTAAGGCTCTAGATTTTGTCAGTGAAGATGTACTAATGCACACTACACAAACTGTTTTTTATTGTTCTAAATCTTTAACTCTGTTACAACTGCTGACCTACTTAGAGAAATCATCGAATGGAAATTTTATTTAAGATGAAGAGACCGAGAAATTTGCACACACACATACATACCATAGAGTGGGCGCGTGAAAGACTGTATAAGGAACGTAACATTAAACATATAAATAAATAAAATGAATGGGTTATCGAGAATGGAGAATATGATACGTCAAGATAAAGATGAGAATCAAGTCATAGAAGAATCATGAATGGCTGAATATATGGGAACCCCCGCGAGATTTATAGCAAAGAAAAATAAGAAACAAGACCAATGAAATAATATACAAAGGATTTAAATGTTTTTTAGGAATAATATTTGTAACCAAATGGGGAAATATATTCTGCTCAGCCAGAAACATAGTATGGAGGTTGGTTACGAAAGTTTCGGAGGGGGGCTGCTAGCCACGAATCTAAACTAACTTCGTGGAGCTAAACCCTTCTTGAGAAGCCACCAATTGTGCAGCTACTCAAGAATTTCTTCAGCATTCTATGGAACCCGAAAGTTCATTACCGTGTTCACAAGTGTCCTTCACTGGTCCCTATCCTGAGCCAGATCGATCCAGTCTATACTATCCCATCCTATCTTTCTAAGATCCATTTTAATATTGTCCACATATTTTTCCTTCACTTTTTTGTCTGATTATATTAATTATAATTGCCTCCTGCAGCTGTTAAATTAGCGCATATTAACTAATTATTATTATTATTGGGGGCACTCGGTAGCTTAGTTGGTTGAGGCACTATGCTACAAGCCGGAAGGTCGCGGGTTCGATTCCCAATCAGGTCATTGGATTCTTCACTTGACCTAATCCTTCCAGCCGCCTATGGCCCTGAGGTCGACTCAGCCTTCAACAGAAATTAGTACCAGGAATATTCCTGGTGGGTATAAGGCGGCCGGAGCGTAAGGCTAATAACTTCACAGCCATCTCTGAGCTGATTGTCTAGAAAATGTGGGAGTTTCGACGTCTCTCAACCCTATGGGCCTCCACGGCCTGTTAGAAGGATACCTTTACTTTACTTTTAATATTATTATTAATATTATTATTTTTATCTTCATTTATTAACTTTCACTTAATATATTCATGAGGGACTTCGGTCAGTGTTTGGAGTTGGAGTCAAAGAGTGGTTATGTGAGTATCAGATTAAGCCTACAAAGCCTGTGTGTGACGTATAATTATGATACATGAAATGGCTGGTCCCGAGCGAATCATGAATCATTCCTGACAATTACAGCCCCAACAGCTGTACTGCGGCCATGTCCAAACTTCTGCTAGTACAAGCCAAAGTTTTTTATTCACGACACAAAAGCGGAGACAGGGATGAATTCAAATACTCCCTACATGTTCAATATACAAATTAAAACTACAGGGGTTAAAAATGAGATAACGTTAATGTGCCTGGATCATAACTAAGGGTGAAGGATGCTATGGCATGGTTTCATAACACTGAGCTGTAAAATACGATTCTTATGTGAGATTTTTTTTCCCTTGGCACTACAGCCCCAGTGGGCCTAGGCCTACCTCCATGAATTTCTCCGTTCACTTCGGTTCTTCTCGATCTTACACATTCGGTAGGACTCCTTGGGCGGGTGATCAGCTCGTCGCAAGGCCTCTACCTGTACACAAACACAGAAAAACGCACACACACAAACTAAACATCCATGCCCTGAGTAGGATTCGAACCCACGATCCCAGTTTCCAGGCGAGCGAAGACAGTACATGCCTTAGACCGCTCGGCTACCGCGACCGGCCCTTATGTGAGATTAACCAGTAAAAATTCCACATAATTTGGCACAAGAATGAATATGAGATTTCTTTCTTTAATGGGAGGTGATCGTGGAATATAAAAATGGCCAGAGGTTACTACAAGGAGGAGAGTCCTTCTTCAGAAGCTGATAGTCGCTTAACCCGTCATAAAAATTATCACGTGTATCTTGGTAATGTGACAGTAAATAACCGGCTCAGGATTTCATACCTCAATTTATTCGATAATTTCCACGTCATAATTACAATTCGCTATTACACTAACACATCAACTACTGGACTGCCTTGAACGAGGTCTTCCTGACGAATCTCCCCGAAATCAGAGTCAGAGAGACAGAGAGTCAGAGAGTCAGAGAGTCAGAGTCACATTGCGACTGACGGTCAGTCAGTCAGTAAGTCTTGGTGTCGAGCCCCAAATATTAATTATTATCGTTTAACAGTAAGGTTTTGTTTCTGTGGGGCGCCTTCTCTGACGAGAGGACGGATCTGTCTTTTGTATATGCTGCTGGCTCTTGCCAGCGCAGTCTTTCTGGGGTCCGAGTCCCTTGGGACTCGCGACCATATTTTACTGTCTCAGAATTGAGACTTAAGAGAGAGACAGAGACACAGAGAGAGAGAAAGAGAGAGGCACACACACACACACACACTTACGGATCATCTTCAGAGGGAACATCAATACTTATTCGGAAACCACCATCACAATAGGTGTTCTGATTGCTAAATTACATACACACATAATGCCTGGAATACACAATGTACACAATATTCAACTTTTCACAATCACAGCAGCCTTCCTGGTATTAAAACTTTTAAAGTGTTTAAAAAATTTAGCTTACCTGGACTTAAATATATTTAATAGGCACGGACAAATAGAAATGGAAATATACAGAAAAGCCACAACGACAGACATAACAATAAATAATAAATCGTGCCACCCTAAAGAACAAAAAGTGCNAAACCACTCTGGTCACGCCTGTTGCTATACGAACTTGAACCATCTCGAGCATCACTTGCTCTGTGCTTCAAGTCGCTGCTGATGACGCTGCTTCCGGCATCAGTTTTTGGTTTTTGGTGTCTCTCTTCGTCTGATGCCTACCCTTTGACCTGTCCAGCAAGGGAGGCCCTGCCAGTAGCTACGCTACCGCTGGTATAGCTCTCAGGGTCCTTGGCATACTCAAACCCCCTCACCACGATAAGGTGGAGACACCAGATATAAAGAACACATAAAGAAACATAAGACTAAACAAGGACGAATCAGCATTTGCCCAACACATACTAAATAAACACCATCAGTACGAGCCGATGACAGTAATCATGGAAATGATTGAAAAGCCAAAAAAAGAGGCATCATGAATGTAAATAAATTGATAGAAGAACATGAACACTCAAAAGAAAGTAATAGCCAACGTAACACGTTCGACCTCATAATACATCAGAACACGCCCACATCCCTCCCCGAAATAATCTTCACCGCTCTATATATAGGCTCGGCACGGACCACCTACAGAAAACACATTGCTGCTTAGCAACAGATATCATGTATTGTTGTCAGGCGTGTTCACCCATGCATTTCCCAGCAATGGACGCCCTATTGTTGCGCATTCGTTGCTGTGATATGTGTGTACCGGTCTGTTACCTAGCACTTGACGCCCTTCTATTGTTGATGTTCATTGGTTTAGACATATTTACGTATTTGTCTCCTAAGGACGGCCCAGTCTGTCACAATATCTTCACCTTTCATGGAGTCTAAATTTTCATTAACGTGTTAACAATACTATGCTCCTGTTTGTAGGCAGATGAGTCATGTTAGTACCCTCAACATCCTATTTCCCTAAAGGGAATTTTGGTGTTGTAATCCTAAAATTTTAAGGATTCTTCGTCATCACATAATGATATACATCGTTATGTCATCATCATTAGAAACTTGCAATCAGCACGCTGGTCTAGAGGTAAAATTTTAGATGTGTACCCAATAGGTAATCGTTCGTAAGGGATATCGCAGTGGTCAG